GAACTACAAAATCACTTAAGATATTATTATCTGCCACCAATCTCCAGGGTCCCTTTAATGTTCTCTCCGGTTTGACCAAGTCTACCACAGCACGTACGTCTCCCGTCACTTTCCCAGGCTCGAAATGGAGGGTGGCACCCCAACAGTCACTTCTGTGTGGCCATGCGTTAGACAGCCTCGTCCCTCCCCCCTTGACCTGCAGCTGCCACTCAGAGTGACATCACCAGAAAGCCTCTTGTTTGTCTCTAAAACTCCTCCTTAGCCAAAGGTCAAGGTTCAGTTTGCGGTGGGTGGGAGACTTCCCTCAGTCACATATGGTGGCAAATTAGTAGGCCGGCTGAATGTATTGGGCAGATTGCTTGTGGTATGATAAACATATCCTCTTCCACACCCCTGCTATTTGTTTATTGGGTATTTAGTCAATACCTAAATGCCTCATTATGCATGAGGCTACACAATGGTTAATTACACTTGCATGATTTGGATTCCTCATTCAAATTAGTCTGTTTGATACATGGACTATTCTCAAGAGAAGACATGTAATTACTGTATGATTTCCATTTGGCTTAGAGACTCCTGCTTACATGTGTAACCAAGGAAGGCTATAAAGTCAAAGGTACTTGCTCTGCCATTTAAAAAAAACTGCTTTTACATCAGACTTACACAGTTTTCTGTCACACAGAGAGCTTCTTCTTCTTCACGGTATAATGTCTGCACAGAAGCTTAGATTTGTGAATTACAAATCCATTTTCCCTCAACATTAAAGATTCTTGGTGAGAAGCACTTTACTCAAAAGTATTTGATGATAAAGCTTTTTGAAATATTGATTTGAATGTGGAATTGAGAAGAGGTTGTGGGAAGAAGGGAGGGGCAGAGACCCTCACACACACATGTATACATTAACAAATGTAGGTGTAAGTTTGTGGGCATGTAACTAGCCTACAACGTGTGTATTCTGTTGCCGAGTGAGGTGAGAGACCGATTCAGAATCAGAATCAGAATCAGAATCAGAATCAGCTTTATTGGCCAGGTGTATCAGACACCTGAAGGAATTTGACTCTGGTACATCGGCTCTCAATGTGTCTGTACATATCCCCATGCAAGGGGCAAGTAAACAGTAAACCAGCATAAGGCTGTGTAGTATAATAAGCAGTATTAACAAGCAACAAACAGTGAAAACAATGTAAAATAAGCAGTATAGACAGGCAGTAAACAATGCAGACAGACAAAGGAATGTTCATTGAAATGAGATAAATAGGAATAAAAACAGAGTACCTGAAATCCACTGTCATCTCCACTGTTTTGAGCGTGTTCAGCTCCAGGTTGTTGCGGCTACACCACAGGACCAGCTGCTCAACCTCCCATCTGTAGGCTGACTCGTCACCGTCTCGGATGAGAACAGTGACCGTTGTATCATCAGCAAACTTTAGGAGCTTGACAGAGGGGTCCTTCGAGATGCAGTCGTTGGTGTAGAGTGAAAACAGCAGAGGGGAGAGCACACATCCCTGGGGGGCGCCTGTGCTTATTGTCCAGGTGCTAGATGTGGTTTCCCCCAGCCTCACCTGCTGCTTCCTGTCTGTCAGAAAGCTAGTTATCCACTGACAGGTGGGGGCAGGCACAGTGAGCTGGGTCAGTTTGGAGTGGAGGATGTCTGGGATGATGGTGTTGAACGCTGAGCTGAAGTCCACAAAGAGGACCCGTACATAGGTCCCTGGGGAGTTGAGGTGTTGCAGGATGTAATGCAGGGCCATGTTCACTGCATCGTCCACTGACCTGTTTGCCCGGTAGGTAAACTGCAGGGGGTCTACGATGTCCTTCAGGTGGGCCAACACCAGTCTTTCGAAGGACTTCATAACTACAGAATGCTTGATTTTTGAACCACTGTAAACAAGCCGGAGCCTTGTTAACTATGCCAGTCAGAGTTAATACACAAAACAACTATCAACTCAAAATCCACTTTCAGAAAAGTCTGAATTCCACGCTTATTAGTGAGGAATAAATGCTGATCCGCACTCTCCCTCAGTGTGATGATGGAATCTCTGGCAGCAGCTACAAATTCCCTTTCATAGCGAAACATAACACAAAGTGTGAGTATACCCAGGTAAATGTATTTCTATAACTTGTTATTTTAGAGGGGAAAAAACACAGGTGTCAGCATTTCCACAGCGGGACTCTGACAACAAGAGACACTGAATATGCAGAAAGAATCCTTCCTTATCTTATTCTACTCTGAAAATACACCAGACATATTCAAGAACTCACAGAAATGCAACACGGCACCCACCACAAACATACAAAACATGACATGTTAACAACCAAATATATTTAAACTGCATTTATAAGAATTGGTCTATGATCAGATATTTCTCATTCTAAAATGAAAAGAGGAAACTATTGCAATTCGTTCATCATTTCTTCTAGCTTAATTAAAACATCGAATACATTTTGGGGCAATTAAAATGTAATTCATGCCAATAAAGATGTGAAAAAACACAAGCTACACTTGAAAAATGAATTCCAAGATGTGACAGAGAGTTTAGACTGACACAAGCCTATACAGCAGCTCTGAGGACTGTCCCCACTACTTCTGTGGGTTGAGGTTGCCCTCTACTGGCCCCTTTTTCCTCTAGCTTGGCATCAAAGACTGTGTTTGCACATGTAACTGAGATGAGTCCACAGAGTAACAAATGGCAACTCACAAACAACAGCTAACAAAGCCAAAGGAAGCTCAACCAAACTAGCACAAGCAGTTGGTGTAAACAGGTATTTAAATACCTTATTTTACCATGAATGGTTTGTGGGGATGATGCTGCCAGTGTACACCACGAGCTTGGAGTTAAATATAAAAATGATTTCAATGTAATCCAATGGCTCCGCCAACTCATGTAACAGTAAAGTCAAGTCGACCAGACAAGAGCTGGTCAGTGACTACCTGAGCCACATTTTAATCTCTTTGTTGTACAGTCCTCTGCTGCTGTAGCTTCATTTAACTACTGTAGCCAAATCCTCATTTGTTTCACATAATTCTTCCTCCAGTTTTCTTCATGTATCTTAAAATGGACATTTGCTTTAGATGCTATTTATCTAACTTAGAAGCTGCCACAGTTTTTGTTTGCTACAAAAATCAAAAAAGACCTATTTCCAAAGCTCGACTCTTCCAAACACTAAACAGGAAGAGCACCGTGCCCACCAATGTGTCAAAGGTCAACTCCGCTGATAGACTATACCATACAACTGGCTTGCCTTAATATAGTACTGAGGTCTCCAGAAAACAAGTCACATTCACAGTCATTAAAAAGTAAAAACATAAAACAATGCCCTTATTTAATTGGGTAGGCATGTAGTCATTCTGATCCGGGTCTTTCCAGGGCTGCCCTTGGCTAGTGACATGGCTACTTTGCCCATTCTGTTATTCATTTATTATAATATAATAATAATAATACTTTTTGTCAGAAGACACAGTCCTCTAATAATTCATGACATGACTCAAGGTCAGAAAGTTTAAAAAGCAATTTGAAATTATTATTTATTTATCTGTTGCCATATAACGCAACTTAAACTGTGCAGAAAAATAAAAGCATTTGAGGTGCGAATTGGTGGTTCATAATGAGCGTGGGGGTGAGGCAATATCAATACACAGAACTAGCTTGGGGAATGGGATGCATGAAGCTGCTCTGTGCTCATGAGTTCTCTGCATGGCCACTGATCAATATTCTTGAAGTAATGGAATTATTTATTGCTTTTCCTGATGAGGTTACCACTTCACTTGTTCTATTTCTGCCAGGTCTGAGAATAGACGGGGCATGAAGGATGTGCACAGTGCAGTGTGAACATTATGCTATGTACGCCGAATATAGTAGAGTTTTAAAAATAACTTGAACATCTTTAACATAAATGAACAACAAATTAAAACAACAAAACAACAGCAGCAGTAGCAACAACAACAACAAAGGTGATCATTTCTGTCCCAGGGGAAATCCTGGAATTACTAACTGTTCTCTTTCTATGAACACAGTGAAACTGATTTTATCCTTGAAGTCACTATTAATTCAGAGAACAGACAACAAAGATTTCTTTGGAAGACTAGACCTCACAGTAAACAATAATGAATATACATTTAAAAATAACACAGTGTGCACAAGCAGCAGTTTGTTGAACTAATCCCATGGTGCTCAAAAACACATTACTGTGAGGCACTCAGTTGAAATGATACATGAAATGATTTATTCCATTGGTTTCCACATAGCTTTGAGGCGTAAATGAGACAACAGCACTGTAAGTCATCTCCACATCTTGGCAGAGTTTGGGGGATTTATGTTGTATGAATATGCTGCAGGGGGGTTTGTCCCATTCTCCTGCTTCTGAATGACTCCCATGTGGATTCCTGTGCTATGACACAGGTTTTTGTATCTCTCTGGGACTACGGTGGCTCCATCAGCATGACTGATCTCATTTATCCCAGTCGCATCCAAAGAGGCCCGTGGTGTAGGGAATGGAGCTTCAATAGCAGCCATGTTAGTGCAAGAGCGCAGGTCACTGAGCTGTGCAGTGTGCATGTGTGAATAACAGTTTGCTTTTAGGATTTCTCTGTATGGGGAACTCCAGGGTACAGGAAATGTATGTGCTTCATAATGAAATAAACAAACAGATCATGAGCCTCCGCTGCTCTTCTGCGCAGAGTTCAGTATTGGTCTATGAGTAATTCCTGGTGAGATGTTAACCACACACTGCAGCAACATAAAGTATGACATATTAGAATAAAACAAATATTACTTACAGAATATTTGTTCTCTTGGGATGATAATAGACCACTAAATATTGTAATAATCTTACATTTCTAAATTCTTAAGAGAAATTTGCTGAAGTGAAGCCAAACATTGTACCTACTCCTATTGGTTCACTCAAATCCCTGAAAATCCCTGCCATGAAAATAACAGGGAATCACAAAAGATCAGTTCAAGAAAATAAGGCCACATCATCAGCACATAAAGATGAACGGGGACATTTATTTGTATGCTCAACATCTTACAACATCCGTCTCTGTAGTTCCACTTACCATGACATTTTGTTCCTTTGATTGTTATTGATTTCTGCTTCCTTTTATTAATCTAGGCTCTGCAGTGCCCGGAGCTCAATGCTAGTTATCTGGTACCCACCAGGAGCTTAATCTCCCGAAATGAGCTGAATTAATAAGCATTCTAGTAACATATTGATTACAGAATCAATGTCTGTTTCTTTGCACTGTGTTCTAATGATTACTAAAAAATGGAACAGCCTTAAGTAATGAGACGAGTTCCCTTTTCTATCATTTTGCTTCAATCTAAATTTCAGCAGATTCTTTTTTGACTGACAATACAATCAGTAGAACAAAGAAGGAGATGACGGGTGTCTCTACACAGAAATAACATCAACTACATACAACAGAGCAGGTCACATCAGTACACTTCAGAAGGGTTTACTCCATCTCTGCTTCAGCATCCTCAGCGAGTTAGCTTGAGTGCAGTGGGATGAATGTTGCAGATGTCAAACCAGTGTTGATCTACCTCCTTGTGTGGCAACAAGCCATTTCGGGGCAGAAAGGGCCGGTGCCAGCGATCACGACTGCCCACCACCTGCCAGAAGCGAGTGCCCTTGAGGAGAAAGACTGCATTGTGGGTGTACGAGAAGTAGGCAACATCAATGTTGCCATCTGGATGGTCTCTGCTCACCACTGGAGGGAAGACATCTCGGATGTTTTTGGGGAAGCCTCTTGCCAAGCTGTTGGCTTCCACATCAAATGCATACACCTGTTTGAATAGATAATTTTTTTCCCCTCTTATATAGAAATCAAACCTATTACAACATACAGACATATCACAGAGAAAGTGTAGCAGGTTTGTTTGCACAAATACACGAATATAATGCTGAGAAACAATGAATTAGCTTGGGTTTAGGTCTGCCCAAGACTTTGTTTGTTGCATTTAAACTTTGGCACCTTGTCTTAATTGTCATTGCATCTACTCTTTCTATATGTGATTTGTAATCTAACAAGTTTGTAGAGTGTTGGCAGACTCCACACAGTAGTTTCATTTTATGCACAGAAACAACTTGTAATCCTGTGCTGTAATTTAGGCCTTAGATTTTCTGTGTCATTTAGTTCTCAGTAATTTGATTAAACACGCCTTTAGGGATTATTAAAAGATGTATTTAGATTTTGACACAGGGCACAACATTATAAATGGTAAGCTAATAAGGCAGAATCTACATGAATTGAATGTTTCCTGACAAATTAGAAATTAATCAAATAACCAAAGGTTGACATGCAGTTTCCTGGGGCTTTTGTGGCATCAGGGGGGGCTTTGACAACATGACAGTTGTTCAATTTTCCCAGTTGGGAACCTTGATTTAATCTCAATTGTCACCTCACTGGCCTTTTTGGACATAATCCCAAAATCTAGTGTTGTTGTGCTCCCTTTGTATCTCCCAGTTTACCACGTGTCAAAGAGAAGATACGGATGCTATTCTTACAAGAGTGTTTTTGAAGAAGTATATGTGGGAGTTCCTCCTGTCATAAAAGGCTGTGTCAATGGGACCGGACACCCCTGGGAAACCTTTAGAGATTAACCTTGGATAGCAATAACCTTCTGAATCCTGTCTGAACACCTGGTCATTCTCACTGTCGTACCTCCAGAACTGAGTTCCTGTCCACAAAAACAACATGGTCTCAACATTTGTTTGAAGAAAATGATTAACACTGTATAGATTTACAGTACATATGTAATAGTTTTTAGATACCTTTAAAGAAGTACACAGCATCTCTCTTTCTGGACCACACATGCACATATGCATCCACTCCATCAATGGGAATCCCACGCCAGCCGATCTGCAGTGCAACTGGGTCTCCATAGCGTGTTCGGTTATTTTTGTTCTCATACAACCAGTACCATCCATCTCTCATGAAATAAGTGTTGAAGCGGATAATCACCTCCCCATAGGGTGTCTTCTCCTTTCTGACCCAATCAAACACCGTATTGAATCGACCCTTACAGACCCCTGGAGAGAGAAGAGTATGGTTTTGGATGAAGATATGAAGAGTATAAAAAAAAAGAACATTATTCACCTCTGGGTTTGTATGTGAATGTATCCACTAGATGGTGCTTTAACCACATACCATAGAGCTGCTGTATGGCTTTCCTGTCCATCCAGTCCATCTCAAAGCTTGACTCATGGGGCAGGTAGCTGGGCTGCATTATGGATCCAGCTCTGTAGATGTGAGGAAGACCTAAGACATGGCCGATCTCATGAACTGCCACCTAAGAAATAACACATTAAATGTTGCTGGAATCTCTAAGCTTTCACTGAATCATTATGATTTTCAATATGTCACCCAATAGAGTTATTTAGTCATGGTGTGGTACACTTACTTTAAGAAGGCTGATCCCACTGCCAGCATTGGGAGCAGTGAAATGTTCATCATCATCAAAGTGTATATCACCAAGGAACCAGGCATGAGCAAATTCTTGACCAGTGCCATCAAACCTCTGATTGCATCCGAGATGCCTTCCTTTGTTGAATAAAGTGACAGAATATTTTAAAGGTACATTTTATACTTTAAAAAAAAAAGTAATGTCTACCTGCAGTACAGTGAAATTATTAAACAATCCAGCTGTTGTGCAGTACAGACATACAAAACTTTATGTAGAAAAGCAACATATTCCTGCTCTCAGGAACACCCAGGAGTGTTAAAGCTAATAAAGCTATTTTTGTACTCTGTATTGCTCTCCAGCAGTGGTTATAACATTTAATATAACCATTTTACTTTGGAGAAGCTGCTACTTTTTCTTCTAAAGTATGAATTTTAAATTGTGAGTTGCATTTTCTCTAAATATCTGTGTGAGTGAAAACTGTCTTAAATATTGCACTTTAGCCAGTTTTACTATTTATTTTCATTTAAATGAGTATATGTGCCATAGGGTGAGATATTTTGATTTTTTTCACATTAACTTCACAGAGAAGTGATGCTGTCTTGAAACAAAGAGTAGTAGTAAAATATAATACAAATTTTTTACTTGTGTTTACCTATGTTGCACACTGTATATATGGACCTACCTGTTCCAAAGCCCAGCTTGATATCGACATCCTCCAGTAGGGAACGAGTATCCTCCACAAACTCCAGCGGAGACACCTCACTCCACATCCTGAAGGCCAGTCTGAGGATGGACCTCTGGTCTTCAACAGACAACTGACTGCTGTAGCCTTCTCCTATCAGCCTCCATTTCAACACTTTCTTTGAAAAAGCCATGTAACCAGTTTTACTCAAATCTCTCTTGTGTCTGCTTTTTGATACAAGCCTGACAAGGTGGCGTTTTCTGCGTCGCACAGCTTCACTCTGATGCGTGTTAACACTGATATTTACCATTTGACTGTTCATGTGGATATTATGTGAATTGTTCAGAGAAGTGTTATTTAAAATGTAATCAAATGAATCCAGGTCCTTTGAGTAATTCTTGCTGGTGTTGTTGGAAATGTCTGTGAGAATACTTTCTGTGCCATTAAAATTGAATATGTCATCTTCAGAGGAGCTTGCAGTACCAAAAGAAGTGTCACTAATTTTATCACTTGCTGTGTTGTTACTGTCAGTCTCATTAAAATTGTTTTCAGTATCTGAGGCACTACTGGTCTCAGGCGGTATAGAGCTTTTTAGCTCAATCTCCCTGTCAGGGACCCCACACCTCGGTTTGTTCATTGCCGCCTTGGTGGCCTCATCAAACACACCTGTGACCAGCAGACCCGACACCTTCTGAAACTCTTTTAGAGCTGAAATGAATGCTTCGCTCTCAGTTGGTCTATCATCTTGATCACCATTATGGAGAGCATGCCTTGCCTGAGGTACTGAGGTCCCTTCCTGGATCATGGCTCCAGGAAGGTCATCCAGAAAGTCATCACTGGAAAATGTGTTTGAATCTTCAAATTGTATCTCCTCCCAGTTCACTGGCTCCATGAATCCATATCTAGAGAGAAATAACTGTAACAAGACATGGGTTAAATTACAAGCTTTGTGAAATACATAATCTAATAGAAGTGAAAAGAAGTGAAATCTTAAATTACCTCTGCTGTGTGCTTGTCTTTTATAATCTCAGCTTGGTGAGAATTAACAGTCTGCACATCAGAATAATCCCGATTGTGGAAAAGTTTCTCTGCATCAGCTGAACTGATGCTTGTCCAAAAAAGCAAATTTATCAGCTGGATAAAAGTCAGCATCGTGGTGTTGGTATTCTTCCAAGATTATACACAAGGGAGAAGCCACACTGCTTTATAGGCAGATCCTGAGTTTCTCCACACCCATCTAAAGGTGTGAATTTCTGAAGGTAGCCCATGTTGCTCACCTTCATGTGAAAAGTAAACCTTTCTTTACTGGTTACAACTGCTCAGTTTGACTGAATTGTATGAATGGGCTATACATGGTCCACTGGTTTTAAACAGACTGTTGTCAATCTGTGAAAAAAGTGAAAACCTTCCCTTTCATGTGGACAATAACAGTGGTAGAGGACAGCAAAGACCTCTCCCAACACCTGTTCTGAGTAAAAACACACACATTGGAATGTTTTACAATGAATAACCACTCACCAAGCCTTCCACACCATCACAGACAAAAATTTATTTTTTAAAAACAAAAATTTTACATTGACTTTCCTGAACAGGCATGAAATTATTATATTTGCTCAGACTTCCTTGGCTAATATGGCACAAAAACAATATTTTCTCAGTGCAAATGAGCTCATTTATACATAAAGATGAACAGTAAAGTAAACCAGACAAATGACAATACATGTAAATAACACAGACTATACAAATGAAGAAGATAAAGTGGATGGAACTGGGAGGTGTGGCCTAGGCACTTATTGTAGAACACTGGCTATCGCAGCAGCCAAGTGTTCAGCTGTTGGCTTTTCTGCAGTACAGCTGACACACAGGCCTTCTGCAGTCATAGCGTCTTGTGTAGTAGGCCCTATAGCTGCAAACTGGAAACAAAGAAGTTTAGGCTAATTGTCAAGGGCAGTGAAAATCTGTTAAGTGCTGTAAATTCATGGATTTTTTTGTGTGGCTATGACGAGGCTGTACCTTTATTTGAGTCAGCTGTTCACCTGACAGTCTCTGAACAACTTCTAAGCAAAACTTAACTCCCGACGGACTGAAGAAAGCTATGCTGGCTGGAATACCCTGTACAGCAAATGCAGAGACAGACAATGAGTTGCTACATTTAAACAAAGTATTCTCTAAAATGTAGTATGAGTGGGGTTTTACCTGCTCTGTGAAATAGTTCTTTAGATTTTTCTCCAGATCTGGATGTTCAACTGTTTGATAGACAGTCAGCGTCTCCAGGGGCATTGCTGGAAACAAAGAAACAGATCTTTACATTGACAAAGGTAATGCAGTTACTATTTTAAAATTAGTGTAATCCCAATGGGACTTTTATCACCTTCAGTTTTAACTGTGAAGCACAACAAGGGTAAATGCTTACCATTTTCTCTTAGAGCTATGGGCAAGACTTCTCTTTTGATTGAGCCACAGGGGAAGAAAAGTGGTGGAATATTTTTGTCCTCTCCTATGAGAAGAATTAAGTACAGAGTCATATTACTTATCAGAACAATCCTAATTTTTCTATTAAGCTAAACTGTGAGGAATGTATGTAATCATATCATACGTTCAAGAATAACATGTGAAAGTCTTTCGGCTGTCCCTGTGTCCTCGCCCAAAGGATTCAGACCCAGATTTTTTACTGTGCAGGGAAAAAAAACACAAAAAGGGTTTTGGGTTAAAGAAGGTAATTAGTGTTCTTATTGCAGCGCAAATATTCTTGTAACAAACAGATGAATAATATACATTAATGATGATAATATACATATAATTTATTTAAACCCATTCGATAAAGAATACACAAATAATAAAAACTGACAACAAAGAGATCCAACTGTTATATGTAGTTGATGTTATAGTAATCATTAGAACACAGTGCAAATATTTACTATGAAGAAAAGCAAAACACACATCACAAAGATACTGCACCTGTTCATTTTCTAAACCGCAAATACTGTCTGTCACAGCAAACTGTGACTTGTGTACAACCTATTTCCAAAGGACCTACAGTAGGAACATCACTTCACGCATCTCTGTGAGCACCAGGTGCCTGCCACACTCTGCTACAATTAGCAATAATGTAGCAGTGAAGAAGAACAACAATGCCCAAAGGGGCAAGAAATTAAGCGAAAAGTGTTTTTAGATGTGAAAATAACTCACCTAATGCAGCAGTGGCCTTCCCAACCACATAGATGGACTTGTTATTCCATTTGTCTTTCACAGATTGGGTCCATTCTGAATTAATAATAAATGAAAAGATAACATTTAATCAAGCTGGAGGAAATTTGTTTCACATCTCAGATCAGAAACAGTATAACAACTGACAGACATGTAACCAAGCATGTGCCTTCATGGGAATAATATTATTATACATATCAATGGAAAACAGGGTGTGACAAATACAATACTTTTGAAATGTAGTTCACTGTATCCTCTCACCTTCCATTCTTTCCTCTGCTTCCAAGCACATCTTCACAGCTTCCACTGCTCTTGGACTAGTAAATATTAGACCTCCATGTTTTTCTGGTTGGAAAAGCTAAAAAAAATTAAAGACAACTTAAACATCATTAAGTATCATTCAATAGGCTATTAAAAATATAAATGATAAAAACATTAATTTTATGCTGTAACAATATAATTTACCTTATCTGACAAGGTGTTTAATGAGACAAACTTAAAAGACAGTACGGGAATTAGGGTTGCATGAAGGCCATATGATGCCAGTTCCTGGGAAATTGAAACAATAGACTCAAATTTTGCAGAGAAACACAATGCATTTAAACTTGAGTACTGCTATATGTGAAGTGAGTACCCTAAGATACAAGTCAATATTGGAAATTTGTCTCTACCTTGATGTAAGGATCGGGTCCAGAATTTCCATCTCTTGGCTCTTTTAGAAGCAGAACATGCATCGTGATAATGACAGTGATAAAACACTGCACAAAGAAAATGATTAGGGGGTAAATGATAACAGGACAAACCAGGGTGGAATGTGAACACTACAGTCAGTCAGACACTTAAAATTGTCAAAACACCGAGACAGTGGGTGTGACAGCAGAGCAAGCTAAACTACACCCTGAAACTGTCAAATGTAACCTGCTGATAACAGTGCTACTGAGTCACGATTTTTGGACTGTATATGAGGAGCAAATACAAAGAAATGATCCCACCCATTTTAACAGAGTAGCGTTATAACAGCTAAAACGTGATAAGTCTTCTTGTGTATTGTTGTTTACATTAACAAGACAAACCAAATGACAGTTCTGCTGGAGTAACTGCCCCCTTAGCAGGAGCTCTCTGCAATAGCTAACCTTAACAAGCTTTGACAACAACAACAAATGTATGTTGCTCGTGTGATATTACATGATCTACAACATACTATCCAAAATACACAAGTCTTACACAAAATTCTTGTACCTCGAGACGATCATACAACTGAATACGCAGCCACAGTGTAGAAGGGAAGAATAACAATCAGTATTCGACTAACCTAACCCAAAAAACAAATTATATGAAAAACATAATTTAGTACTGAGCCATACTTCCAATAATGACAGTATATAGCACAAATACATATTTTTAACACAAAGGTCGTACATTATGTACAATTTAAAGAATTGCAATCCCCCTTTTCTAAAATGGTTTATTCCGTTTTGCCAGCGGGCGACTATCCGACATTATGGCTCTGAAGGGTGCTACGGCAAGCAGCAAGCCGTGTTCATTTTGAGCCATAATGGCGGCTTCAGCTTGTTTCTTTGAGGCTGAACTGTGACCTTTACCCCGCCCACTGGGTTGACGTACGTATTTCATGTTTGCAGCATGGCTTCATCTGCTAAGAGGAAGGCAGTAGGTTTGGGTGAAAATCCAAAGGAAAGTGAAAACAGCTCCGATGAGAATCCGGAGGAGGATGACTATTCCGAGGAGGAGGATAGCGAAGCATCAGAAGAGGAGATCAACGAGGCAATTAACTCAACATTTGTTGATTGGCCTTGCTGACTAAGTAGCTAGCTAGCTAGCTAGCAAGACTAGCCAGCTAACCCATTTGCCGGCCGCATAAACAGAAACGTAATTTACTATTGCCAGGTTTGAATTTAAAGTAACGCTACTAGATAAACGTGAATATCCAAGTTAAGAAATAATGTTAGTAGCCTATATGACTATAACAGTAACGAGCTTATTCTGTAATAACCCAACTCTTAAAAAAGTAGTTTTAAGTTTTAAAAAACTACTTAAGTGATGAAAAAGTAGTTTTAAGTTTTAAAAAACTTCTACTTAAGTGATACAAAAGTACAGAAAACAGCTACTCTGTTACAGTTACAAAGGTACTTGCATTTAAATACTTTACACACAGACAGGGAGCCAGCTTTAGTCTGTTGTTAACTGCTCTCTGCTTTGTTGTTTCACTTTCAGGAGGTCATTGTGGATTTTGAAGCCCATACCATTTCAGACAGTGACTTCAATGGCATCAAGAAACTCTTACAACAGGTTTGAGACAGTATTTATGTTTTACATCCAAATGATCATGCTCTTGTGTTGTGTTGTGGATGTAAGCATGTCCTCACAGCTATTATGTTTGGATACAGCTCTTTCTGAAGGCACATGTAAATACATCAGAGATGACAGACATCATCATTCAACAGAATCATATTGGAAGTGTCATCAGGGTGAGCTAACCAATAATTTGTCATCTCAGACTTTACAGGTTTAATCTATTTGAGCACTAACATGTATTCACTTGTACCTTCACTTTGGTTCAGCAAGCTGAGGTACCAGAGGACAGTGATGATGATGACCCAGATGAAGTGTTTGGCTTCATAACGATGCTCAGTCTTACAGAGAGAAAGGTAACAGCACTGGTGCACACCAGTATTACAGACTAATTGGCTGTTATGAGCTACGACAGTGTAGAAAATAAATACATGTGGAGCTAGTTCATTCACTATGTGTGTGTGATGTTGTTGTCAGGGTGTACAGTGTGTAGAGCAGGTGAAGGAATTGATCATGGATCAGTGTGAGAAGAATTCCTCCCATAGCATGAGTGAACAGCTAGAGCAGATCCTCAATGACACCACTAAGCCTGTGGGGCTACTGCTGAGTGAGCGCTTCATCAACGTACCTCCACAGATTGCCCTTCCACTGCACAAACAGCTCCAGTGAGTTCTACTCTCTCTTCCTGTCCTAGCTCTTCTGCATAAGTTTTTGCAGTGCATGTACAGTGGGTACGAAAAGTATTCAGACCCCCTTAAATTTTTCACTCTTTGTTATATTGCAGCCATATGCTAAAATCATTTAAGTTCATATTTTTTCCTCATTAATGTACACACAGCACCCCATATTGACAGAAAAACACAGAAT